AGATCCCCACAGCAAGTACTCTGCACCCTGGTTCAACCCAACTGTTAGCAGGGCCCTGCAAACACTATTCAACATCCAGTACAGGGCATCCTTAAATAAAATAGCTTCATTACCAAAGAACACAAAGTCACTCAGATACAAGCCTTTCCATTGTTTTAAAATCTCAAACACTTGCAGGGTTTTTATTTCATTTTATATAGCTTATTTGGTGACATACATATAATCATCCACATACCTTGATGGTTTAAGTTATCCCTATAAACCCATTATGAAGATGTGACCCTGGACTCTAGGCCCCAGAACAACTTCAGCTGTAACACCCTCAAAGGTTTCAGAAGCAAAACCTTCAGGAAGTAGACGTAAGGTGCAGTGGCGTAGCCAGGAAAGTTTTATACAAATGGCAAGGCGGGAACCAATGTGCACCGCTGAGGCCCCCTGAATCAGTTCAGTGCAAATCTACTCTTCGAACAGGAAAATAAACATGCAGAACAATCATATTTTCGTAATGAAGACAAATTTGATTTTCCTAAAGCTCTTACTAATACAATAAACACATATATCTACACATCTATGGTCTCCAAATTTAAGATATTGTGAGCAATCTTTTAGCTTTGAGTTCTGGGGGTAACATTTTATCTATTGCAATTATTTTCCTTAATTTCCTGAGAAATGGTCCACTATATGGTCCATTTATTAATAAATGTTCTACATGGTGATATACTGTACATACCTATATTTAATTGAGTTGGTTTATTTTATCTCTTACTACATAGAAGACTCCTAGATGACTTGCAGAGACAAAACTTTCTCCTCTTCCCCTTAAAACAAAAAAAGAGAGCATGGATTGATTCATTATCTAGAACAGGGGTCTTCAACATTTTCCAGGTGAAGGACCTCCGAACTGATGGTGAGATAGAGCGGGGACCCCCTAAATATATATAGTTTGAAATTGTGTTATATCAAACTGGTCCTATAGTCACTCTATTACATAATGAGTAATGTAACAAAAGTAATTTCTGGGATTATTAAAGTATTTCTGATTCTGATTCCTGGTTGATGGGACAGGTGTTGTGAATGAAACGGTGCCCAGCTTGAAAGAGCTCCTGTGTGTCGCTGAATGTGTGCATTGATGACTGAAAGACCTCTTCTGCTTCCATTTATTTGTTTACTACAGTGTGTTTCATTCATGTTAATGTGTATTTAAAGACATTTCAATTAGTGGAAGAAATTGCAGGGGAGAATATAAAAAAAAAGTCTAATCAACCTAAACTTTCGCGACCCCAATGCAGTACCTCTGTGGACCCCCTAGGGGTCAGGGACCCCCTGTTGAAGACCTCCGATCAAGAACGTTCAACTTGAGAGTCTTACAGCGGCCATTTTGTTTTAGAGGGGAGCTGTTTGTGAATTATGTCTGCATGGGATCACCTGGTAAGGATGGCCACGGGGGTGCCCAATTACCTCCCCAAATTACCATGAGAGGATGAATATTCTTGTTGAATGGCACCAAATCCGTCAATGTAATAACAAACTCTCTTCTGTAGTTAGAGCTCAACTCTTCATGAAGAGCATTTCTCTACATTTAACAATCCAATATTTCTAAATGTCCCCCCCCCCACACACACACACGGAACAGTCCATTAGGTTTAAAGCTGATACCATCACCTCTAAATGGAAATGCAATGCCAATGTGTGCAAAACACACATGGATACACTATCTTGATCAATAGGTGGATTGTTATTTCATCTCCCTACACTGAACATCAATAGCTTGGCTGTGATTAAAAATATCCTGTGCCTTTGAAAGAGGTTAAAGCCAATAACTCACACTGTGCATTGAGTGATACAGTACGAGAGGGAGAAACCAAATGCAGAAGCAAGTATTACTATGAGGTGCAATGGACTGTTTTACTGATGTGATGTAAAGATGAGTTGGAATAGGAACTTACTGTGGATACACAATGATTTGACAGTGAACAGGAAGGAACTGAGGAACCCAGTTTCAGGGTAATCAGCTGACTAAACAGGGAACCTAAAGGAGAAGGCAGAGGGGGACACGTACCAAAGAGAAAGGCTAAACAAGGTCGCATGACTGTTTCCGATGTTTCTGAAGCGTTTTTAGCTTATCTCACTGTGGTAAAAGTGGCCTAACTGCAGATTAAATGAAGCTGTTGAAACCAATTAATTCTGACAGATAGAAAAAAGCACAAGTTTGAGAGTTTTGCAGAAGTTTGCCCCTTTTGGCGACAAGTTGACATGACACTACTGTCAGCCTGGCTGTGACTGCTGAGACTGCACAGGTCTTTTCTTTATAGGTGAAACATCTTCTGAAGTGAGAAAATTATAAATACTAAAATGATGGTCAATGGTAGCATAGATTCAGCTATTCTCTAAGTAAAATCCAATGTGTGCAAAGTCTCAAAAAGACGGAGGGTGTTCACATTTTATTTTTTTTATCATCTCACCCTGGCAAAACATAAGATTCCAGTTCAGAAATACACTGGCTTTAAGCATCGACTTCTCCCCTTCACTCTAATAAACCTAAATCTAACAACAAATCTGTGGAGAAAGCTAAAGATTAGGACAATGACAACAAGGTCTTCTAAAGGAAAAAATCTGGAGCCCATTACAACAAAAGATGGGATGGTTGCTTTAATGCCAATTAAGATCCCTAATTTTTGAGAAAAATATTAATTATTTTCAACATGCCATCATTAATCTTATATGTCACACAAACCAAAAACAATCTGTTTCCTTTAGAGCTGATACCATTTTTACATTGTTTATCATTTCACAGTGGACCTCAGGTTCAATAAAATATTTTCCAAATCTAACTGCCAGAAGGTTAAATAAGTTTAATAAGTTTTAAATCAAACGTAACTCAGTCAAGATAAATTCAAATAAAAGGAGAACTTGCTACAAAACAAAGGATCCAAGGAACAATACTGTACCATGTTAAATCCTTGGGAGAAAATATTTTAAAAGTTGATTTAAGGAAATTTGAAGCTTCCTTTCTTGAAGATTAAACCAATTCAGTAATAATAATACTTCCTCGATGTAGGGTCTTGAATTATTTGTTTTACAAAGTGGATTAAACGGATGGGAACATTTATTTTCTTGAAGCTTGTCAGTCGAATGCTGTGATAATGTCATATGGGGTAAATTTCCTGCTCAGGTATGGGAAACTTTTACGTGAAAAAAAATCTTTGTAGTTTTGTATTTTTTTTTCAGAATCTCAAGGAAGCTATTCTACTTAAAGCTGTAACAACTTGTACATTTTGTCCTGTGATGAAGTTTAAGGGAAGTAAAAGATCTTTTTTTCTCAAGGATTTATTTTCTGTTTCATTCTTAACATTTTCACAGGACTGCTAACACAGAAAGATGATAACAGATTAGCACTGATATGCTGATAAGTATAGCTTTTCCACCATGTGTTTCTGATCTGAGACCAAATTTTTCCCACAGAGACAAACTTATCACACCTACTGCTGCTGCCTCTCATTTCACACATTCATTTAGGAGTTTTCTTGTTTTTTGCCTGACTGGTTTTAGGAGTTAAATTGAGCATCTAGCATAGAGGACACTTTTGTCACACACACAAGGCTGCAGCTGCTCCGCTTTCACTCATCTTTACTTCGGTTTTTAAAAAACAGGATTGAATGAACTCGTGTTTTAAACCTTTGAAAGGGGTGGAAGTATACATCACTTAGCACTTTAAAATATTCAAAAATCAAACTCTAAAATAGAATGCTGCATGTTCAAGTTTGTTTAGGATGGATGGATAAATTCAATTAATGACAGAGCACAGCTCTCTGCAGAATGCATATGGATATAGTTGTGTATCTTTGCCATCTAAAGCTGGCAAACTCAAACCTTAAAAAAATAAAACCAAACATATTGTTTGCCATATGCTGACAACTTTAAGCTGATTATTAATGAGAATTTTACCACTAAAGTTGCAGGAAAACACAGATAAGATGTTGGATGTAACACAGCTCTCTGTCACGGTTGGTCCCTGCGTTGATAATTAACCTCACCCCATTGCTCCAAAATTCAGACAGAACTGATGTTATTCTTTGGATTAGGCACATAATCCCCAATTAGCGTGTTACAAATTGAACTTGCCTGCCGTGGGATTTAGAAAAGGCATAAGAAGGACTAACGTAGAACTGACATGATGGAATTTTGTATGACGGACTTGGCTGGCAGCCTTTTCTATTAGCCTTTAAATCTGTGAGACATACATCAAATAACAGAACCAAAGGATTGAGTGCAATAACCAAACTGTATTATCTTATAAATACATTGAAAAGAAAAACTTTACCAACTTTGAAAATGAATCAATTGTTAAAATCTTGCTTGAGATATTTCACATACTGTAAGATAATCATACCTATTAGGGATGAAGATGAGTTGCAGGTTTGAACATTATGCATAAGATGTGGAGTATAAACTTAGACACAGCTGGAATCATCTGCTCCCTGTGCCGTCCTCTGATTGATCATTAATATCACCTTGTCCAACAAAGCTCCATCTCGGCAGTTTTTATTAAGGTTTAACATTAACTAAACCCTCCATCACCAGTTGATGGCTGAATTTTTAACCAAGTATTCCATGCGGGTAATTATTGCATACAGACCTAAGTTAATATGTGTGTTGATTGTAGTATTCAGCCACTCTGACCATGAAAGATTCAAGATAATGTATGCATAAGCAATCACTCTGCATGTAATAAGAGGTCAAAGAAAAGTGGGGACAGATGGGTTGTGCTACTTGCGTCGGTTACAAGAGCTGGACTCAAAGTGGCTGAAAGACAGGAAGTGTATGACACACACAGCTTGCTATGTTGGAAACCGGAGGATAAGTTCAAACAATCAAATGGATCCTAAATAAACTTCAGAGTTTGAGTCTTCCAGCTTTTTCACCTCCGACAGTTTGGATCTTCTGTTAGGCACTTCAGTTTGCACTTCAACCTCGTCAGAAGATTTGGGATTAATGTTTACATTTTGCAGTGTGTGTGCATGGACGACACATTTTGTAAAGCATTCTTCTGACCTTGCGTTCTTTGTCTCCGTACTCCAGACCCAGCGTGTCCATGGCGCGGACGATGGCAGCCAGAGATTGGATGGTGTTGCTGTAGACGACAGGCTTGTACTGCTTTACGTCATCACCAGAGAAGCCGTCCTCATGGATAATCCTGGAGAGAGACACGCATGACTTAGTTTTTTTTGTTTTTATGCATGGGGGAATGCTTTTTTTTTTTTTTTTTTTTTTTAAATGCTAGGGGAAGAGGGACATGACAAAAAACTGCCGATTGGTGGAGAGACTATAACAAAAAGATAAAAAAAAAAAAAGGGATGCTGGGACATAAGCAAGGGTTTATTACCAGTGGGCCTAGCTGACATTTAGACACACAGTGCGTCCTGCTGTTTCAAATGCCATGATGTCTTTCACGCCTGTGAACACACAGACAGAAAGGCAGCCCAGCTGACGGACACACAGTTAGCCAGACGGACAGACAATCAGACAAAGTCAAACAAAGCAAACAACAATGAGGAGATGGGCAGTAGAGAACAAAGCATGGGACACCAGGAAACTTCCAGCTGATATAAAGAGACGGAAGCAGGTTGGATGAAGGCTGTGAGCCAATCAGGACAGACAGAGTCCCTGCACATGAAGAGACTCCTACACTACAACCATCAAACTAGGATGCATTTCTTCAGTAAGCCTGATCCATCTCTAAAAACTGACAGTAGCTGTCCTTTTTATAGGGTGCTGCAAGAATGATCCAATATTTCACGAAATGTCACTATAGATCTCTTATTACCCTACTGACACGCTGCAGAAATGAGCAGCAGGGATAAACAAATGCTGTTGGTTATGAGCAACATTTCAACAGGAGGTGAAACTTCCGAGTACTACTATAGCTACGAAGGGTCGATATAGAAACCGCAGATTTTTTAAAACCAAAATTGTGAGTTCTGTTTTATTTAGACTTTATTTTCTGTGTGGCGGACAACCCAAAGGATATTACCAACACCTAAACGGCAGGAGTGAGAACGCCAATTTAAAACAACATGGCCAAAAATGTGGTCTTTTTTTTTTAATGCAAATAGATTGTAATTGCAATTTATTGTCCAACCTCGTGATAGACTGGGGAAAAGTGGTTCATAATATAAAATATGATGTTACAAATAAAAATAGAAAAAGCAGCACCCATTTAACTTGTGCAAAATACACAAATGGACACATTTCTAGATTTTTACAGGGCCCCTCTAACATATCAACATGCTTTGACTTAAATTATTCTCTTTTGTCTTCCTTTCTATTAGGATTATTTTTATACTGTTGTTTTATGGTTGTAAGTCTTGTACAGCTTCTAATGTGTTCCTCCAGAATTTATCTGTTCAAGGTTCCATTCATTTTCAGACCTTCACCATCTTCCCAACCCCTTCTATGGGAAGAGAAGAAGGAACAGTCTCTGTGTCGCTTCAAAAATGATGTATTCAACAAGAAGGGTAATCACCACCAAACACAATCTCCTACATATAAAAAAAAACTTTTTATTTAACCATATCACATTTTACAAGTTAAATGGATGGTGGATGGTGGTTAGCTACTAATTGGATGGCTCACTTTTAGCAAATGCTTTCTTCTTCTTCTCAATCATTTGGGCAAATAAAGTAAATAGCTCATAATTGCCTCTTGGGATCTCTGCTGCTCCCCCAGGGCTACCATGCCTCTATGCCAAATTGTTTTTTTTATTGTTTGGTGTGTTCACCAATGTTCCCTAATAAACCTGCCAGGCCTTCACAGAACAGCTGCATCAATTGGCGTTTCAATTTGTAACTTCAGAGCAAAGGGGCCGCATACACATTCACAAGACACTTCCTTGAACTCTCCATATATTTTTCTATGATTTATAGAAAAAAAGTATAAAGACTGCTGCAACAAGTCACTGACTAGTTGCTGAAATTTCACAGAAAAGTTCAGATTTTTTAACTTCAGTGGTTACTGCTCTGCTCTCTCGACTCAGTGCCACTGTTTTACAGCAAGCCGTTTCGGTAAAGCAGAAAGAACTAAGAGTGACCGGTCTAAACGGGCGGAATTCCCCTATGGACGCTTCTTACTCCTACCTGCGCGGTTTGTGTAGGGTCACCACTTTAATCCACCGCTCTTGCCCCGGGCACCACATCAGGTTTGTCTAATATTAGCCTCTACAGCAGGGGTCTTCAATTCAAGTCCTCAAGGCCACGTGTCCAGCAGCACTGAGACTTGTCTCTGCTTCAGGCACTCTGGGGAATGTAACTGTGTACCAAGGTCAGTCATTTGATTCAGGTGTGTTGGACCAGAGACCAGGGCTGAAACAATTAATAAAATTAATTGTGATTAATCGATTATTGAAATAATGGTCACCTAATTTTGTAATCGATTAATTATTAACTGGAGTATAGAGACTTTAAAATATGACTTAAGCTGACAGAGCAAATGACTTAGAGCAGTAATTATGTCAAAATTGTAAAATAATATATAAACATTTTGCATTTAAGATGAAAACACTTTCTCTATGAACATGTTCTATCCAGAACTCCTTAAGTTGAAAGGTTTTAGTTTCACCAGGTTTAGTTTCATAAAAATTTCTTCTTTAAGGAACCTTTTACTATCCGATTATTAAAAATAATTGAAAGATTTATTAATTTGCTAAATAATTAGGCCCGAGCAGCAAAGCGCTGCGAAGGCCTATTGTATTTGTTAGTTGCATCCCTAACAGAGACACACCTAAAAGTTCCAGGACACCAGAACTCTAGATCGGAGTTGAAGATCCCAGCTTGCCATGATCAAAATATGGAAAGATGAAAGAGACTTTTTAATTTCAAACTAAAATAGATGCTTTACCTGTTACTGCAAGTTTATTCCAAAACATTGTCAAATCACATGATTAAAATGTATCCTTCTATCCTATAAAAGGGTTGCATGGATGCATTATGCAGCAATAGAGCATTTTTCAAAAAGTTCTGCAAACATTTTTACAAAGAAAAAAACAGGATATTAGAAAAGCAGTCAATGCCAACTCCAGTACCAATGCTGTCTCCAGTTAAAACTCTGTTAAAATGTCCCAATTCTGCCCAATAAACTGCAAAAGTTTAGAAGAAAATTTTCAGCAGCTAAAAACACCTTCCTGCTGTCTTGACACATCCCTTATGTCGATAGTTTGCCCCGAACCTCAAAAACAGCAATTATCAAACCATTACTAATCAAGAGAAGCATGGACAAATTGGTCCTGCAAAACAGACCAATCTCAAACCTCCCGTTCATCAGTAAGATTATTGAAAAAGTTGTACTTCAATAGTTAAATACCTTCTCAACATCACAAGCTGCTTTGATGTCTTCCAGTCAGGTTGATTTTATTAGAGCGTTTGGAAAACTGGGTCAGCCTTTATGGTATAGCACTGGACTGGTTTAAATCCCACCTAAAGGACAGAAACCTATATGTGTCATTAGCGAACTTTAAATCAGAGACCAGAAAAATCACATGCGGGGTTCCTCAAGGCCTCATTCTGGGGTCCCTCCTATTCAACATCTACTGTACATGTTCCTCTGGCTCAGATTATAGCAAACAACCACATCAGTTATCATAACAATGCAGATCACACACATCTTTAAATCACAATGTAACCAGGTGACTAGAAACTAGGGTTGTCACGATACTAAACTTTTCAACTCGATACCGATACTAAGGAAAATATTCGATACTCGATACTATTTTCGATACCACAAGGATAAAAACTCCAAATTTCAACAGAAATATTTTGATTAATAATTAAAATACAATAATAAACAATAAGAACAATGTTTTGAGGTTGTTTGCTGTGCACAGTATTAAGCAAGCTTGATAAAAAAACTTACAAAATTAAAACTAAGTGTTCCTTCCTTGGCTATGCTTTGCACACATAGCAATGACACTAAAAGTCTGAAACTGAAAATTGCACAGAACTATTCAATCACACAGTGTTCAGAAAGTGCATTTTCCTCTATTCTGCACTTTAGATGAATGACTGCTTAGGTGCCACTGGTGGTGGCACTGTATCGATACTTTTAAAAATGAGTATTGTATCCGGATACAACGTTTCAGTATCGATACTTTTTTGAGTATCGATACTTTTGACAACCCTACTAGGAACCCCTCAGAGCTTTGGTTAGATGCTAAGAACAGATCAATATGTGGATGCACCATTATTTTCTACAACTGAATGAAAACAAAACTGAGGTAATAATCTGTGGACCAAAGAAATAGAGATCCAGAGTTAGCTCACAGCTTCAGCTACTACAGCTAGAAATCACGGATTATGGCCAAAATTTTGGTGTCACGATGGACTCAGACCTGAACCTTCAGAGGCATATAAAGGCAGTTACCAGGTCAGCCATTTATCACCTGCTAAACATGTCCAGGATAAAAGGACTAATGTCCATCTAGAAAAACTATTCAGGCATGTATCTTAGGTAGTAGAATTGACTGCTGCAACAGTGTCTTCATAGGTTTGCTTAAAAAGACCATCTGACAGCTAAAAAAAGTAAATGACTTGCCGCAACATTAATCTGGAACCATGAAGGCACAGTGCTGGGGACAGCATTGTCCCAGTGCTGTCCTCTGGCAGCATAATGTTTCAGATCAATCAGGCATCCTGCCAGTCAGAGCATTCCTCCCTTTCACTTACATCATAGCATGGCTTCAGTCCACCAGGTCCATTTCTCCTCAGTGTTTTTATATACATGTTTAAATTGGCTAACAAAAATTTAAGTAAAACCTCAGTGTGTACGTGCATGTTAAAACGTGCAGTAATAAAACTGGCTTCTCTCCACATCTCTAGATGCTCCTTCTTGATTCTTCCTACTCCTGTCTCTCTGCGTCTTTTACAAGCAGCCACTTAATCTGAAATTTCGTCTCCCATCTTTCCTTTTATCAGGGAGGTGAAATGGATGCTGCATGTTCAGAGATAATGGTAAGCCAAAAACACCAAGAGATGCTTGTTTGTTTCAAGGCCACTGATGAAAAACAAGCTAAAAAAATAAATTAAATACAAGTGTCTAGGGCTGGACGATAGTCCAATAAAAATATATATCGATCGACAGACGTGTGGCACAATCAAAAAAAGGGGATCAATAAAAGTTCGATATACAAACAGGAGTTTTCCTTCA